AGCACAGCTCTGAGAAATGACCCCTTTCAGTTGAAGTATATTTTATGCCTGCAACACAGTTTATCTTCAAGTCTTCTCCGAGTTTCTGAGTCACCCATGAAAATTAAATCTTCAAAACCCTTAAACCGAACCCACTTGCTTGTCAAAGCAAGTGAGTGCAAAGGGAAGTAAACAGTCAATAAAAACTCATCTTAAGAGTAAAAATAATATTTTTTGATATGGTGTGAATGGTGCCCTCTAGCTTCCAAATGTCCACTATTTCCTACTTTAAATTTAAAATTTAAATTTAAGATTTACTAATGTAAACAAACACACAAAGCGAACAAAAAAAGGTAAAATTTGACCGAGGATTTATTTTTTGTTTTCTGTAATTCATTACTTTGCTTAGCTCATATTTTTGATTTTTAAACAACATAAAAATACAAAATACACTTCTGAATGTGTTACTTTTTCCTTTTCTTATGTTTTTATTCAAACAAAACTTTAGCTACATTTCCAAACCAACTACTAGAGAAAGTTAAGAAGTACTCGGTACTCCGATTACCCCGTGGCCCCCAGGTTCAGATCAGTACACTAAACTATGCAACAGTACAAGCAAGGACAGCACACTGTAACAGCAGAGTTATAACAATGGAAGCATTTCACTCCAGGATTCATACTGTTCATGCAGTATTTTAAAAACTTTTCTACTTTTAAGTAAAAGATCGTTGTACTTCTACTTTGCATGATTTCATGCTAGAGTGGGGAAAAGGGACAAAAGGAGGAAAAAGGTGGGAAAACTGAGCACAGCAGCTGACAGGCTAAAATGGTGAGAATATCAAGGGCACGGTGAGTAACAGAGCAAGAGAAATGATCTCATCTCTCAGGAAGAAAAGGGAAAACAAGGGCGGTTCAGTCACACGGCACCGATGGCTTCGGTGTGTGTAGCTGTCTGATTTATGCCTCTGTTTTAATTTTTGGTAACTACAGTAACCAAAAATTAAACCACCAAGTCTACTTTCTGAAGCTTTGGGAGGAACATAATCAGATAAACAGCGTGAACGCAGCTGGAGAGAGGCTGAGCAGCAATGTGAGGGATGAATGAGAGACAGCAGCTGCCCTCCCGAGAGACCGACTCCATTGCCTCATCGGAGAAAATCCTCGGAAAAAGCACTCCTTCCAGGTTCTCACAGACGGGCGATTGGGGCAAAAGGATTCCTCTCCACCAACACTCCTCCTCCTCCCTTTCCTCCTCTTCTTCCTCCTCCTCCTCCACATGGCCCAGAGTCCCCTCATCATCCAGCATCTGCCAAACTCGGACAACCAGCTGTTACACATTCCAGCTGGTGGACCTCCCACACCCACGCTGCATGACACGCTGCCTTATCCCCATCATTTGTGCATTCATGCAACATAACTGCTGCTAAAGAACAGTGCTGAGGAAGATTAGAGTCACTGGAGTTTACTCTGGTGAAACTTTGCTTTCTTTAATGCATCATTAACTACTTTATCTTCCTATTTTCCTGAGCAGACCAGCAACAGAAGAGATTATAATCTGCTAATCCGCCTCATTAAGGGGCTCCTGTTTGTACTGCCAAACTAATGGTGCTGTAATTAAGGCTATTAATTGACCATTAGGCCAACAAAATCTAAGAAAACCTGGTGTCTCCAAGTGTCTGATTTTATCAGTCTGACATCCAAAAATCCTAGATGTCAAATTTACAGCCATAAAATGACATTTAAGAGCCATGACCAGGCTGCTTTGTAAAATGCTGTTAAATGACCAGCTAATGTGCTGCTCATTCTGCTCACAATCTCAACTCTCCCATATTGGCTTCTCTTCATTGGCTCCCTGTTAACTTTCGAGTCAAATTTGGAATCCTTCAATCACATACAAGGTCTTGAATAATCAGTCCCCATTTATCTTAACGACCTCATACTACCGTATCACCCCATTGGAGCACTTTGCAATCAGACTGCTATCAGATCTCTAGCTCTCTTCCACAGTGTGTCTTTGCTGGAGGTTTCTTCTTGTTTAAAGGACTTTTTTCCTTGACACTGTTGCCAAAGCCCTTCTTCATAGGGGGCCATATTGGGGTTTTCTCTTTATCTTACAATATAAAGCGCCTTGAGGCAACTGTTGTTGTGATTTGGAGCTATATAAATAAAATAAGCTAAAATTGAATTGAATAGACCGGATACTGGACTATGTTTTAACACATTTGTGAAAGATCAAGAAAACTGAAGGAAAACACTGGAGTTTGTACAGAAATATTGTTTCTCTTATGCTACTCATACAACATTTTAGAATCTGTGCTTTTATTTGACCTTCATTATGGTGATACTGCACGCTTCTGCTTCTTTTGTCACTCCTCACTAGTAGTTGCAGCACCTTCCTCCTCCTGCTTTGCACCAGTGGGTGTCACAGTGGGCTCTCCAATCAAGAAAAAACTTTCTTAGAAGCAGAACTGCATGTTTGTTTATAAGGATAGCTTTGAAAAACTGCTATTACCTGTTTATTTGTTAAATTTAAATACAATGTTTAACATAGGCTGTGCTGCCCAATCACACTGAAACTGGAAACGCTATGTTGAAATACTCTGCTGCCTAGAAATAACACAACTAACAAGCTGTGCATGAAATAAGAGCCACCTCTTGTGTCTTTATATCTTTGCTAGGAAAATATAAATGTAACTAGCTGCAGCAATTTATTGAAGCATTCACAAACACACATATACAATGTGAAATACAGTTTACAGTGCTGTGAAAAGTAGGATTTCTTTGCTTGTTTCAATACAAAATATTCAACAAAGATAACCAGAGTAACACAAAATGCAGTTTCTAAATACTGATTTCATTAATAAGGCAAAAGGCTTTCCTAACT